AACCTTGTCAAATTAATAAATTTTCTTTTATTTATTTTAATTTTCTGTCGTCACGCAGGAGAATTTTTCAACCCGACTCGTTTATGCATATACATATATATAAATCCGTTACGTAAAATAATAATAATGATAATGATGGAAATTATGTTTTTTTTCCAACACTTTTTTCTCCATCCTCATTATTTTATCGTCACGTACGTTCGTCCCCCCCACTCTCCTGTTTCTCTTACGACCCTGTCCCCCTTAACCTCCTGTTTCTCTATCTCTTCCCCCCCTTCTCTCCCCTCCGTTTCCCCCCGGAAAAAAAAGTTTTTTCCATGATATTTTGACAATAATTATTTTTAACGATTTCGTCGCGACATTCATTAGCAAATGAATCATATTTATTTTTCTTTATTTTTTTTCGACAGCAATTAACGCCCCAAAAAATTTTTTTCTATTTATTTTATGTCAAGGGCGCGAATTATGCCGCAGTTTTTAATTTTTCTAATTTTTTTTTTGTTAAAAAACGCGCGTAAAAATTTAAAACAAAAAAAAAAGAAAAGAAAAACAAGTAAAAGAAACGAACGAAAAAATTTAAATTTAATTAAAAATTTTCTCTTTTTCCCTCTCTCTTCATCCCTTTCTCTCTCTCTCTCTCTTGCTATCTTTCACTTTCGACCGTTTCCGGTAACCTTTTCCGGTTTTTCGATTTAACCCCGGCGAAAATAAATAAATAAATTCATGTAAACCGCTCCTCGAATTTTAAACTTTTCCCACTGGTATTTAAATTGTGTGACGTCATTTTAATTTTTTATTATTTATTAGTTCAACTTTTCACCACCGTCACGAAAAAAAGGGCGCGAAATTCAAATCAGACAAAACACGAAACGTTTTATTTTCTTCTTCTCCCTTTCAAATAATAATCGAATTTTCACGAAAATTCACGTGTGAATATTTTTTTTATTTAAAATTTTTATTTTAAATAAATAATCGATATATCGATATATCGAATTATTAAAAAAAAAACATTTTATCGTTGTTGAAAAAAATAAATAATTATCGAAATATAAATATTCTGCCAACGTATAAAATAAACATAATAAAAATTTCATCATCGTTATCATATTGATTTCTTATTTTTCTTCTGCTTTTCGTTTGGTGATAAGAAAAGATAAGAGGAAAAATCGATAAGAAATAAAAATTTTTTTTTGCACAAACAAACGAACAACCGGTCGGATGTCGATTATTAAGGTGACAACAAAAAAACAAAACCTTAACAACTTTTTCTTTTCCGTTTCTCCCCTTTAAATTTATTAATGACCTTTTAACCTTTTTATTATTATTTAAATTTCCAATAGGAATTTACTTTTAAAAAAAGTTCATAATAATTTAACCTTAACCCTAAAAATTATATTTAAAGGTTAAACGCATATGATGGCGACCATCAGCAGACGATTCGGATAAAAACGTCCGGTCGAATTATTACTTATTTTTATTTGTGTAAAAGCCAAAAAAAAAAAAATTTATTACTTTTATTTATTATTATTATTACTATTATTATTATTATTATTATTATTATTATTATTATTATTATTATTATTATTGTTATTATTATTGTTATTATTTGCTGTTGTTTATATCCGTGCCAAAATTATTTATTTATTATATCTTGAATGATATCATTTTACCCCCTGGAATTTTTTTTTTTTTTTTTTGCTTTTTTTTGTTGTCGTTCGTCGAAAATGTGAATTATCGACTCCCCCCTTTGCCCTCCCCTACTTCCCTATTTGATTACAGTTTGGTAATAAAAAAGAAAATTTTTTAGAGGGGGTAGTAGGTTAAAGGTCAGAGTTTTCGTTTCGTAAAAACAAAAAAAAAAGGAAAAAATAATAATTTTTTTTGGATTATTTAAAAACGAATTCGTACAACCCTCCCTTCCCCCCACTCCCTCTTGTTTCTCATCATCATCATCATCATCATCATTATTATTATTATTATTATTATCATCATAACCGTCGTCGTCGCCATTACAATGCAAAAAAAAATTAATTTAATAAATAAAAAAATCGATGGGCAAATATATTTAGGGTTCCCTTTTTTTTTATTTACTTTCCCCCAGAAAATTTTTCCCGATGACGTAATCAATAAATTTAATTTTTTCTAGAAATTTCGGTCGTACGTTTGTTTTTTTTTCTCGCGGATGGTTTATACTTCCGGTTTGACGGTTGTAATTAACAAAAAAAAAATGTCGAACGAACGCAAAACATTCTAATAATTTATTTTATAGGAAAAAAAACCTGAAAATTATTATTATTTGTTTGTGCGTTTGTTTTAATTATAACAAAACAACAACAACAACAACAAACAAAATTTAAAATAAATAATTTTAATGTTGATTTAATAATAATAATAATAATTGATTGGAATGACTTTGAACTTAAAAAATAATTGGAAATTAGGTCAGATGATTATTTGTTCTTCCGTTATCCTTGATTTAAACAATCATCATCATCATCGTAGACGTCGACGTCGACGTCGACGACGACGACGGCAACGTCCATGACTTTGACAATAATTTTCGGGTTAAAAGGTATTTTTATTTTTTTCTCTTATTGTTGCTACAGTAATCGTCGACCTTCTTAACAAACAAACAAACAAACGAAAAATAACTGCAAACAATCAACCGAAATAATAAATTGTTGTTTGTTTCTCACTCCTGATTATTATTATTACTACTTACATTTAGTCACCATTTTTTAAAATATTTTTTTTTTGCTTAATTTAACCTTGTTTTGTTCTCGGTAAAATCAATGACGTCATCAATTGTTATAATCGTCATAGTCGTCCTCTCCAAAGTCCTCTGTATATATATATATTTCTCGAAATTTAATAATTATTATTATGATAAGAATGATAATGATGATGATGATAAAATTTCGTAGCGTTAATAATAAATATAAATCATATATATATTAACTTTCTACTTCCACGACTTTTACAAAACCGTTCGAACGTTCGTTTACCCTTTATTACTATTATTATTATGTTTTTCTTTAAACTTTTTTAAGGAAACGTTTCGAATGAATAAACAAACATTTATTATTATTATTTTTTTCTCATTCAAAGTTCGATTTCATCAACCGGAAATGAATTTTTTTTAAAAAAAATTTTACGCGCGTTTTTCTCTTCCCTCCCAACGATTTCAAATAACAAAAATTTTCGGTGCATCGACAAACGGAAACGCGCATCGAAATTTTTCATTACCGCCTTTTTTTTTCCTCTCTTCAACCTCCCTCCCACTTCATCCCTCCTTCTCATCCTCTTCCGCCTCCCACTAAAATTGAAATAATTTTCTTAAAGTATTTTTTTTTTTTTTATGTAACTCAATTTTCATAATTTTTTTGAAAATTTTGAGCGTTTGTTTAATATACAAAAAGAAGTTGAATCTTTGTTTGAAATAATTGGCTATTTAGCAGACGGTTTGTTGATCTGGTTCAAGGTTTTCTGTCTACTGCTTTTTAATAATAATAATAATAATAATAATAATCGTCGTCGTCGTCGTCGTCGACATCATCATCATCATCTTACTAATGTCGTCCCTTGCCTGACTTAAATAATAATAAAAAAAAAATTTAATGACTATTAATAGTAATAATAATAATAATAATAATAATAATAATAATAAGGCGGACATTTTTTTTTAAATGGTGAATTTATAAATGTGTGTGTGTGTATTTTTTAAATTAATTTTTCGTGTCAATAGAAAGAAAGAGAGAAAAAAATTATTTTTTTTTATACCCGAACTCGTGTGAATGCATTTTTAAGGCTGGTTTTTTACGATTTCCGGTTTTTTTATTTATATTTAAATTTCCCGCCTTTTTTATATTTTGAAAAAAAAAAGAAAACTTTGGTAAAATTAAGAGAGGAGATCGATAATAATAATAATAATAATTTTTTTTTTTCGTTTTTCATATCTCTAATAATTCGATATTATGTCAACGTGAATTTTGAATTTCCCATTTTACGCGCGTTTTTTTTTTAAATCGGAAAAGGCAGCGTACGACGAATTTATTATTATTATTATTATTCGGTATAAAAAAAAAAACAAAAAAAAGTTGAATTGCCGAAGCAGGTTGAGGAACCAAGACCGGGACGATAGAGTTGAAGGTCGAAATGGTTGCCGAAAATCCCTCCAAGGACTTCTACCATTACATTTTGGCCCGTTTTTATAAAAAAAAAAAAAAAAAATCACCACAATGGATGATGATGATGATGATGATAATAATAATAATAATGATGATAGTTTTCGACTTTGCCAAAAAAAACATTTTGTTTCGTGTCAATAATTTTATTATTTGTTTCTTTTTATGTAAAATCGAATCGAATTTTATTTATTTATTTATTTAAAGCCATATTGTCATCGTATCACACATGAGAGGTCATTGCCTTCAGGTCAGGTTTTTAAAAAAAATTTTTTTGTTTTGCCAAAATTTAAAAAAATCCAGATTTATCATTAGATTTCGTATACTCCTGGAACTAAGACAAAAAATTTTTTTAACTGGACCAAGAAATAATAATAATAATAATAATAATTTTTACTCCCCCGCAATTTCTTTTTCTCCAAAAAAAATTAATTAATTTTAACTTCCTATATAAACATATGTATGTGTGTGAGAGAGAGAAAGAGAGAGAAAAGTTCAACGTTTTCACGCGACCTTGAATCTCATTCTCAAATTCTATGAGTTTAAATTTAAATTATAATGACCTCTTGACCTTGCATTGTCATTCTTTGGAGAGAGAAAGAGAGAGAGAGACGAAAAAAAAATATATAAATTTTTTCTTTTTATTAACAAAATTTATTTTATTTTGTATTTAATTAATTTTAATCCATTGATTTTTATTTATTGTTTGTTTGTCGTTTGTTGTTGTTACGCGTTTGTCACTTTTTCTTGCGATGGGGGGGGTGAAGGGGGGGCAGAAAAAAGACTTCCTCGTCTATGGCCAACATCATTTTCTTTTTATCTTTTATTTTTTTTCTTTCCACTTTTACCCTTTAAATTGTTTTTTTGCCTTCTCGCATCTTTTTTCATTCTCGGATCGACGACTTTGTAAGGACCTTTGACCCCTCTCGGTTTTTTATATCTTTTACCCGCGTTAACCCTTTTCGCGACGATGTACGTCACTTTCTTTTTGTCTTTTCCCTTCTCCTTTGCTTTTTTATATATCCTATTAAAACAGACAAAAAAAATCAATGAATGAATGAATTAACGTCCACGACACGTGACTCGCTCGCGATAATAATAATAATAATAATAAACTTACTTTTGAATGTTTCTGACTTTTTCCCTATCCGATATGTCTACGTCATCCATTATTTTCTCCATTTTTTTATTCGCTCTTTGCAACGATTTCATCATTCTCCTTTTCTTTCTCGCTTTCGCTTCGACTATTTTCTTTATGGGTCTCACGTTTATTTCTTTCAATTTGTTCCGATACTCCTGTACCATTTCCGTCGGCACGGGAATGTTTTGATGCATGTGAACTTTTTCATCCGTCACGAACCATTCCGGAAGGTTATCGTCGTTGAAAGCGTATCGATTCCAAGCTCCGTCTATCAAATCTCTTTTTTTCTTTTTCGATTGTATCATCATCGAACCGAGAGCCAAACCCTCTTCGTCTAATTTTCTTTTCTTGTCCTGTTTCGTACTTCCCCCTTCTCCGCTTTTGCCTTCTTTCTTCTTTTTTTTACTTCTCTTTCCCTCCGTTTCTTCATCGCTTGTATCATCATCATCATCATTTTCGTCTTCTTCCTCGTCGTCCGAATCCGAATCGTATTCGTCAACGGATTCCGATTTCAATCCATTTCCCTTCTTTTTCACGTTTGGAATTTCATTTTCTTTGTCTTCCCCTATAACCTTTTTACCCTTTTTCTTTAAACTTTGCGTGAGTAAATCCAAATCGTAATCTTCGTCCGCTTCCGTTTCGACATTTTTCAAACTTTCCTTTTCGAACCAAAGCGCGGCTTTCGTTAATTTTTTTTCCTTGCTTTTCCTATAATCCAAATCCGTCAAAAGTGGATTTTCATTTTTTTTTATTCCCTTTTTCTTTTTTTGACCACCGTCGTCGTCGTCATCGTCGTCGCTTTCGCTTTGGAGACCTAAACCTTCGTCGCTATCGATCGACATTTCTTCTTCCTCCCCGTCATTATCATCATCATCATCATCTTCTCCTTTTTTTTTATAATACCTAAAATTTAATTTTGAATCGTTTTAAAAATTTGCCTTTTATCATCATCATCATCATTAAAAAAACATCGCTTCCAATACTAACAATCCAGAATTATCCAGATACGAATTTTCTTTGCTGTATTTAATTTTTTTGGGTTTGATTTGTTCGTCGTCGCTGTGGTCGGATTCGGGTAAAATCTCAGGTTTTTGATCTAAAACTTTATCCAATTCTTTTCCCGATCTGATCATGCTAAGACGGAAAATGGCATCTTCATCTTGCATTCCCGGATTTTCGTATTTGTTCAAAACCATTTTTAAATTCATTTTCTCCTGTAATTTTTTACGCTCTTTTTCCGCTATTTTTTTTTTCTTTTTTTGCGCTTGCAATTCTTCTTTTTTAACAGCCGAAATGTGAGCGTCGATTTCGTTGAGTTCTTTTTCTTCTTCGTCGCTCAAAGTAGGTTCAGGTTGATTTTTCTAAACGAGTAAAAAAAAAAAAAAAAAAAATTTTTAATACAAAAAAAAAATTTTTTTTCCAACTGAGTAATTTACAATAATAACCTTTTCTTTAGCTTTTTTCTCTTCCATTTCTTTCATATATTTAAGTTTTGCTTCTTCCCTCAACGCTTTCCACCACGTCAATATAAGCCTGACATCTTTCCTATTTAAAACTTTTATGTCTTTAAAACATTCAACCAATTCTTTTGTCGTTTTTGGATGATTTAATATTGTTTCATCGTCGAAAACAATTGTCGATGCTCTTTGTAAAACTTCGATTGCATTTTCACTTTTTAAAAATTCTGTTACATTGATGGTATGATGAAGAGTGTAATCTCCCTCCTCATAACCCTCTGGTTTTGCTTTTTTCTGTTTTCTCGGATTAAAAATGTTTAAAGTGGCTGGAGATTTTAAATCTAATTCTTTGAAAACATACTGAGGTTGAAAAAATTTTGGATCTATTTTATCAGGTGCGAAAAAGTGTTTGCACGCTACAAATATTTCAGCAGATTCAGATCTTGAAGCCTGAGGTTTTGTAGCCTGGACTTTTTTAAATAATTGTTTGAAAACCCACAGGAGAGAATTGTAATCTGATGATCTAAAAACTTTTGTTATAAACCATCCGCCTTCTCTCAGAAATTCTGTACCTAGTTTAAGTGCACTTAATGTTAAACATACTTGTTGATAGGCATCATGAATCCAATTTGTACCTGAACAAAAAGTTAGTTTTTAGTAATTTGCATTATTTTTTGTTAAAATTTTAAGTTGACTTGAAATAGATTGAGTTTTCGATTGAACAAAATACTTACCAACATTAGGAGCACCATCATGCAAAACAACATCAGCTTTCCATGTTTGCAAAGCTTTTGTTAATGAAGATTTACATTTACTAGTGGTAATGTCTTCAACCAAACTTATGCAACCAGGTATCGGTTTTATTGGAAATAAATCTACTCCAACAATAACACTTGATACAGGCATATTTTGTTTGGCTACTTGCATCCATCCTCCCGGTGCTGCACATAAATCTATAAGAACTTTAGAACTTTCTAAAAATCCAAATTTTCTATTTAATTGTAAAAGCTTGAAAGCTGCTCTGGACCTAAAGCCTTTTTATAATAAAATAAAACGATATTAAATTAAGTTATCAAGTCCACATGTTTTAACAAAGTGAGGTTAGGTTTCGAAAAATAATTTTACCTGTTTCTTTGGCTAACTTATAATACCTATCCTTTCTCTGTTTTCCGATTTTCTTTTTTTGAACCATTTTTACTAAAGATAATTATTTATAACTTAATGAAAAATAAATCACGAATCAAATTAAATATAATAACTAAATACAAAATAGACAGCCATTTTGAAAAGTAATTATAATCGATTCGATATATCGAAATTTTTTTTTATCGATACGTTTAATTCTTTTAAAACTCTATCAGTAGTTTTGTGTAAACAGTTATTTTTAAGTGTTTTTTTTTTTTTTTTTTTATTTTACGATGCAAGTTTTCAAAAAGTGTTTACTTAAATGATAATTTTTTTTTTTTTTTTACAATGAAATCACTATCGTTTTATTATTAGTTTTAATATAAAAAAATTAAATTTTCGATATTTTAAATATTGTTTTAAAAGTTTTTTTTTTTTCGTTTTTTTTTTCCAGTTTTTTAAATAATGGCAGATCCAACAATAAAAACATTTTGTTGCCATCATAATTCAATGTTAAACGAATCATCGGGTCTCTTATTACATTTTAACTCACAATCATATAACACAGTTTGTTTGGCTTCTTCATCGATTGGAATGCTTGGAGCAATTTTTCAAATTTTACCTCGTGAAAGTCTTACCTTAAATCACAGGTGGTATTCACCATCAGCAACGCGAGGGAGACACATAATTATATGGTTAGCCGTTGCTGATTTACTTGCTTCATTGGGTGTTTTCATGAGGTCATTTTTATTTAATCACAATCAATATTTATTGGATTCCGGTTTTGCTTCATACACATTGATTTGTGCGGTTTCATCGGTAAGTACTCAAATTTCATTTAAACCAATATTCAAATATTTTTTTACTCTCTTTTTGTTCCCCTCCTTTGAAAAAAGGCATGGATTCAGTATTTTTATACAGCCACATGGTTGTGGACTCTTTTTTATGCAATCGATATGAAATTAGTTTTAAGAGAAGAAGATGGTCATCCAATGTTATATCATTCTGTCGTTTGGATATTTCCTGCCATATTCACAATAATCGGATTATCAGTTTTATACATTCCCGATATTGAGTAAGAATATTATTATTATTAATCAATATTTAATTTATATTAAAACAAAATAATATCATTATCACATTCATTTTATCATTATCAGCTGTCACTGTGGTAGTCCATCGACAGTTTTGTTAAGAATTTTACCTAATTATTTAGCAACATATTTTCCACTGGCTACAGTAATGCTTTTAAATCCATTTTTATATTTATCATTATCGAATGATGTTAAAATAAGTATAACAAGATCTACATCACAATTCACGAATAAAGAAAGACAATTAATTGATATAATAAAAGTTAAATTTTTACTTATAAATGTATCATTTTATCTATGCTGGCTACCGAATTTAATAAATGGTATATTAATATGGAATTTTTGGTTTTCCGTACCTGATGAAATTGTACTCATGCTTTGGTACATAATGGTAAGAATAATAATAATTTGAAATGTTGTTTATTCGAACATGTCGAGTTGTTTACAAAAGACATTTTTTTTTTCGTTTAAGGCTTTGATGAATCCCCTCCAAGCAGTTTTTAATTCATTAGTTTATAGAAGATGGACGGGTATGCCAGAAAGGGTTTACATGCCTTGTAGAAAAGAAAATAATTATTCTTATAACATAAATTTTAATAACACATCTAAATTTCCACCTACAAGTGAATCATCACCACTTTTACTTCCTTCGATAAATTCAACTTGCGATAGTAATTTGTGAAATACAAACAAACTCGATTTATTTAAACTTCTCAGGGTTGTTTCATAACAAAAAAAAAAACAATCGATATAATTCAAACAAATATGATTTAATGATTAATTTTATTTATATATTTATTTATTTATTATTAATTTGTTATTAATTATAGTATCCGGTTTTAAAATAATTAATAATTACGTAATTTAAATAAATAATTTTTTACTAATTTAAATCGTGGAGCGTTCGTTAGCCATCTCTCTCTCTCTCTCTCTCTCACTCTCATTATCTCTTATTTAATTTTTATAAAAAAATATTATTATTATTATTAATTTTAAAATTTTATTAATTCGTTTTTATTATTATTATTATTATTATTTTTTAAATCCGTTTTTGTTTTTAATATTTATATATATTTTATCATAATTTTTTTTTATTAAATTTTATTGTCATTTAAATTATTTATTTATTTATTTAATAATAATAATAATAATAAATCTATAAATTATTTTATAATTATCATTAATTTTTTTTTTTTTTTTTTTTATCATTTAATAATAATAATTAAATGAAAATTATAATGATATTAATTAAGACTCGTATTTAATAATTTTTATTAATAATAATAATTATTATTATTATTTATTTATTTATTTATTACAATCACAAAATATATATATATATATATTTACACAACGCGTTATGTAAAAAAAAAAAAAAAAAAAAAAATTTAAACAATCATCATCACTTATTTATTTATTTATATATATGTATATGTATATAAAATATAAGTTAGTTTATTAAATAATTTATTATTATTATTATTATTATTACTAATTATTTATATCGTGTAAATTATTTATTTACATAATAATAAGACTTTGGTTTTTTTCAAAATA